TCACAAATACATTGGTCACTGTCTCTTAGGCGAAATCTGTGAAGATAGGACATATATGGGCCATGCCCTGTCAGATACTGTGTGAGGTGCGAAGAGCTGCTATTTAAATTGTGGTTAACCTTTGGTTGGAAATCATGCAGTCTTCTGCCTGTGGTGCTTGTCTCCCAGTTGTTTTGCCACTGCTTCATTAGTACACATTTGAGAGAAGTTTTCAGATATGAGTGCGGAATGGGCACACCAGTGCAAAGGCAGGGATATCTAATATAAGTAAACATGTTTCTGGATAGAAGTGTTGTTATGACCTCTTCTATCAAGAGGAACTCTTTCAGAGGTGACTAGAGTGCCGCTTAGGGAGTTTATGTATTTTGAGCATAAGTTTGGTATAGCTAATAGTTTTGACATTGGTTGCAATGGTATATGTGGTACAGAATGGCATCTTTGACCTGCTCATAGAATTACGAAATGTAACTGTGTAGGCAAGCCTCCAAATTATTCAAGCTTCATGTTTGTTAATCGCAATCGTAAGATGACAACGCCTAAAGGAATGCAACAGCCGGTTTCTCCCTCTCTTTTTCTGCTGCTGGAGTTCGGAGGCGTAGGCCTTCTGGCTTGTTCCTCTCCTGCCAACGTGACGTGCCATTTTTTACTTCTTCCTTGAATGCTGCCTGATAATACCATGCGAACGTTTGTGAGAGGTATTCAGCTTGATGGTAGAACGCAAGAAAAAAATTTCTCCAGATTCGTATAATAATGCTGCTATTTGATAATTTTCTGTCCAGCTACTTTGTCTATTAAAATGTCTTCGCATCGCGAGTAATCTCCATGCACACGTGTCTCCTCTTCTTTCGATTAAAAAAATACGATCATTTACCGAATATGCTTATTGACTGCACTAATTTTTAATGTTTCCAATTCCTCCAGAACTTTCATTTTGTACAGATGGAAGAAGACTTACTGTAACGATGAGATTCGTAATGTTCGTTAAGTCACTTGTAACATGTTCTGGGTGTGAATTTTTATAAGTATCTGCGTTAGTCTGTATGGCAAATACCTTCTTCATTATACCTTAGTGCTTATTCTGAAGTAGCGAAACTAAAATAAAAATAAAAATAGTTAATTTTCTTGTGATATATTTGAGTTATGGTCTTTTGGGGTAAGTTTACTTTGATCTCGTATTTCCCATCATAGATAACACATTTGTGTGTATCTATAGGTTACTGCGGACACAACATAATCTCAGTAATCTTAATCTTAATTGACGATTTAAGAATTTAAATAGTTTTTACCTTTAGCATTCACTTTTCCAAATTTCTATCACCATTTGGTCCAATATTCTATTACATTTTCCAAATTCTACAGTAACATATATACGTATCCCATAAAACTAATCATGCAATATGAACGTACAATATATACACAATCACATAACACACAACATATACATGAAAACAAAAATACAACATAGAAGTTTACATGTAAAGAAATTTAAAAAAAAAGAATAAATAAAAATAAATAAGTATAAAGTAGAAAACATTGATGCTTTGTCATTTATTCTATATTACATAAGAGTTAATTCATGACGTAAAATTTGCAATAGTTTTTACAATGCTCATAAGTTTATTAGTTAATAATGTTCCGCTGATATAAGCATTGTTGTTGCTGAGATAGTTCAGAAGATTGTAGAAAAAACAATAAATGGAATAAAGTGAAAAATAAAATTAAAGTAAAATAAAATCCGTTATGAGTTGACAGCTTAGTGATTATTTTAATTTAGCGTGGCTGACATATATCTTGCCCCATCGCTGCTATTAGGGTGATACTTGTACAGGTTTTATAATTGTTCCACATTTTTTTTACGTGCTGTGTCGTTTGGAGTCTGTCAATGCGCAGTGGAAGATTTAATTCCACAGATGCAAAAGCTCTAAGCAACTAAAGCACTTACAAATGGAACAGCGACTAATTAAGCTTTAGCTTTTCAAAAACATGTCAAGCCGCAATTTTCCGTAAGATATAACGGCTACATGGCGAGACTCTTTCCGGTTAAGAATTAACTCCATCTATAAAACCATACCTAATGCTAATAAATTTGTATAACTTTCTGTTCTGCGCAAATATTGTCACAAGAGTTAACAAGCTCAAAATGTTACGCAACTCAAATCCCAGTGTTGATAAAAATTAAGAATAAGCATCCTAAAGAGAATTATATGAATTTTTCTTGATTTTTTAAATCAGGTGAAATTCAACTCATATTAACCTTTATTATAGCTGCTCTCAAAATTTATAAATAAGAAGCTGTCTGTATACTCTTTTAATGTATTCATATTTATTCACTAAGAGAGAACATGGGAAAACCTATTACAGCTTGCAGTTCTGCAGTTCTGAATTTTGTCCTTAAACGACTTGATGATTAATTAATCACGACTTTTGAGATGCATTTCTCATTGCATTCTACAAGGCATTACATTCTACCACTGAGTGATTGAAATCAGAAAGGGATTATTAGATTGGTTCATGGTACTCGGAACAGGTAATTTGCAAGAATCTGCAAACCTTTTAAATCGGATTAAAGGGACTAATTACTGAAGAATTCAGATCTTCATTCATTATTTATGCACCAATCAACAGAAATTCATGCCGAAGGCGAATTGAAAAATTAGATTTATAGTACTGAATAAACATGTACGAAGCAGTCTTCAAAGGAAGAGAGATTTCATATAAAGACCTATATTATCAGTAATTCGTTCAATAAATATTTCTGCAGGGAGATGTGTTTCTTACTAGAATATAACTTCTAATCAATTTGTGTTTGTATTCCTATCCAGAAAAGAAAAGTATTCGATATAAAAATACTGAGAAAATGGAGCTCTGTTATACCTTCCAATACAATAACACCATAAACTTTGATATTATGAAAACAGCACCTAGTGAATACAAACTATTTTGTTTTACTTATAACTGCTTGGTCAATAAACATTACTAAGAATGTATTATAGAAATAATTTATAAAATGAAAACATTATTCCTGTCTGCTTCCATAGTTGTTGTTTGTAAGTCCATATTGGTTACCATAAATTAAGGACAGGCACTGAAGTTAAGCCGGACTAGAAAATGTAGCCGACAAGAAGGAACACACTGTCAGACACAAAAGCACTTCGCGAAGAGAAGACTTGAATTCCTGAGCACATGCAGCTACCAAGTGGAAGATACGTAATTCAAATATCAGCAACATTGCATACTTGGATTTTTATATTTCTTGCCTCCAGAAATTTTTGTAAAAGAAAAAGGTATTTAGTGGCATTTGAACTAAACATACGGTAGATGACAGCTCATAAACTCATTTTAGAAAGAATGATTAGGAACTAACACAGGAGTTTGATTATTCATTTTTTATAACAAAAGCAGTATTCATGATGAACTAGAAACGCATTGTAAAAAAAGCAATGTTTTATAAGAAATCAGTTTTAATTTAATTATAAATTTTATGTAATTGGACCTCATCAAAGAATTTTTAGGAAATGTTTTCTAATTGAATTTTGTTTCTTTCCAAATTATTTTGTTTGAAGTAATTTCACTTGGTTAATCAAAATCGTAAAATATCACAGCAAGACTTGAATCGGTTTCAAAATGCCCATTTTAGGATAGTACACCACAGATTTCCCATTCCGTTCTAAAAACTATCTAACGGATAGGGAAAGCAAAATATAACTAAACTATCTAACTAAGTTTCTAAAACTATCTAACTAGGGTTAAAAAAGCTAACGGAAATGCATGGTTTGAGAACTTGTATTTAAAATATCATCAATGACCAATAAGACCAAATCTATTAATTATACTATGACGAAAATGTACATGATTTTCCAATTTTCATCTCTATTTTTCACAATTGTGTGCACGTTTCTCACACATTAATATTAAAACATTTTCAAAATTGTATGCCTCAAAACTATTAAATACTAAATCTGGTAAATTTGAAAAATAAAATGCCAAAAAAGTATAAAATAAAGGTAAATTACGTTCTCCTTCAAGAAATGCGATTGTAAATTTATTTATGACATGAAAAGCAACAAACTTAAGGCAGAGAAATTTTCCGGAGAAAAATAAAATAAAAATGTTATTTTCTATTTTTATATGCTATATTTGCTTATAATTTTGAGCAAAATTAGGCAGATTTTGTGGTAAAATTCTAAGGGGGAGATAAACGATTTTGTTCCCTTTATACAATTTTTTTTCTTACTATAAGTACAAAATTTTCTCTTATATTATCCTTGTCACATTCTGGAACACATTCTGCCATACGAGCAATATCGATAATAATGTACGTTTTTTAATTGTACAAAGCTGAAATTAACATAAAATGTCTCAAATTTTCCTTATTTTAACAAATTTCAGACAAAATTAAATCTCTCTGTTAAAGCAGTTTTTGCATAGTTTCTTTACAGTGAGGTGGATGTAGTTACATGCTTTAGCACAGGGTTTCTTAAACTCTTTTCAGTCGCAACCCCTTTTTATCACTGAGATTTTTTCGCGACTCCTAGGACCCCATAATGTTTACAAACATTTTGTGGGACCCCCATAAGTATTGCGCAAATCCGACACACACGTGATTGAAACTGCCAACGTTTTCACTTGTACTGTAATATACTATTGCAGTTTTAGGTCATTAACTTTAATTTCTAATTTTAAGACATAGAACAATGTGAGAATTTTAAATAAGTAACAGACAAAATGACAGCATCACGTGCAAGGCAAAGGAAACTGAACGTTTATATTATAAAAAGAAAATGCGTCGAAACGTTTTCGTTTTTTTCTTGGTATGGTTGCTCTATTGATGGTCTTCTGTCTTCTTTTTATATATTTTCAGATACATTGTGTAAAAATATTTGGTAATTGTAAAATGATTACAAAAAATAAATATGAAAACTGCTAAAATGTTTGGCGACCCACAGTTTAAGAAACACTGCTTTAGCACATATCTACATTCAACCGAAAATTAAACATACCTTGATTATGATTTGTAATGATTCTACGTAAGAAACTTCAGTTTCATACAGTTCTCCAACTATGTGTGTTCTGGTGTCCTATAAAGAAAAGAAAAAAAATGTAAACAAGTTAAATAGCATTTATAATTGTGAGTTACTTCTAGGTCAAATGTGAATGCATAAAGAACTGGAATTAGATAATGCACAATTAAAAATAAAACTCAAAATTACTTTCTTTCTAATGAATACTTATGTACATAATATTTGTACCTGTAGAGAACATGCATCACTGAAAATAATAAAAAAAGTATTTGCTTTATAAAAATATTATAATCAAAATCATTAAGCAATTATATAGTTTCATTACCGTTGAAGTGAGGATACATTTCATATCCTCACTTCAACGGTAATGATATAATTCTTGCAGTTAAAAGGAAAATTCATCACGATAATTGAATTAGCAGCATTTGCAAACTTTCATCGTCTTCATAATATTACCGCTGAAGTGAGGATATATTTCATAGCCTCACTTCAACGTTAATGTCGCTCACATATGCAAAACCACTGATTCGGCGAAAGCTTGTTTAAGTACTGTTGATTTTAGAAAAATCGAACAATGACTTCTGAAAAATAAATTTTGAAACTCGCTGTTTATTCTCGTACCGTTTGCATATCCTCACATCTCATTGTGCAGTGCAATTTTATCATCGTGTAAAGCAATGAAAAAAAATGTCACGTGACTCTCTGAACGGAATAAATTACACGCATTTTTTGCTGAATTTCACTTATTTCCTCAAATTTCATTAGCGATACATTCTCCTTCATTTAATTCAGCTCTTATTTCGCAGGAAGGCAATAAATACGTAAACCTCAAAATATCTTTATTAAAAATTGAAAACACCAAATACAGTTAAAACAATTTTAAAAAATTATTTTTTGCAATTAAAGTTAGGGTTTTTACGCAAAAACAAGCAATTCGGCCAGCGGGCAAGGAGGCAGATTTTTCGGTGCAAAAAACTAAAAGTTTAGTTTCGGTCCCATTCGTCAAAAAGACACTGAAGGTACAGAAACTGACTTAAATCACTATTCTGCTCAGTTTCAAATGTAAACAAATATGGCTGCTATGGTAAAAAAAATTAGGCTTAGCAGCACTTGAACAACTTTTAAATTGTTGATAATTCCACAACTTTTGCAAGCAGATGAACTAAAGGCTAAAAATCATAACCGCATGATAAGAACAGCATAATTCAATAATTTTAAAATAAAAAATGCATAATTTACCAACATATAAGAATACAAATTACTAAGATCGTAGAGCCGAGTAACAGAGTGCGATATATATATATATATATATATATATATATATATTGTTACGTTTTTCTTCTGACACCAGTTATTACGTTATTTTCTTCCTTCATGTTCCTACGTGGTTCGTGAGGATTTGAAGTGAATAATGACAATACTACTTGATGAAGTATCGAAACACACTTTATTGGCCAGTATTGTCAGGATATCTCCAAAACACGTTTTTACAGTCGTCGATGAACTACTATAAACACGCTGACACGATCAGCGACACAGGCTCCAGGTTATCAGGCTATCACGGTGGAGACAGCTTCACTGCAAAGTATCAGAATATAGCTTCCGACTCTGCTCGGTCGTTCTCGGATCTCCACGTACTCTCTAGACTCTCCACGCTACAACTCGCAATGCACTCGACGACACACAGAGCACGGCTCCCGACTCTTCGGTTCAGTCGTTCCCGGAGCTCAACACGCTCTCCCGACGATGCACTAACCGCGATACACTAAGAGACTCCTTCGGTGAACTCGACGACCCACTCGGCACTCGCTGCCCGGCTGTTAAGTCGATCGACTTCTCAGGGATTGACTCCCTAGACGAGACACCGACTCGATACTAACTATCTCGCCCTCTAGGCGACTGCGAGCTAGTAGGGTTTATATAGCTTTTGGCTTGTGTTCGAGAACATTCTGGGCTAAACAGGTAAGAATTCGTTCCAGAAGGCTCTCCATCCGTCCATGGCATATCGCCAATTTTGTCACCAAATGGTCGATTTCTCGCCAAATGTGGAAACCCTGCGTTTGCTTGCCATTTTATGGCAACCCTAAAACTGCTTTGCGGGGAACCCATCTTACCGCTCCTGCGCATTTCGTAACAATATATGTATACACTTTTAGTGCGAGGGCTGCGCAACTACATGTTACGTCAGTCCTATATTCAAAATTGGAACGTTCGGAGGCCACTTGCGTTTGAGTTATACGAGATAGATACATACATAACATATATACGTATATACGTACGTACAGACATCGCAGAAAAAAATCTTTTCTGAATCCATTTTAAATCCTTATTGCAATCCGTTTTACAAAGAAGAGTCCTTTATTCTGTGCTTACGTACAGATGTCACGTAAAAACATCTTTAAATTTCATTCGATAGCGGTCAAATTGATTTTTCTATAAAATATGATACCCGAAAATTTTTGCGATTACAATACTTACTAAGGAAGTAATAAAGCAGAAAACAAATGTAAGTTGCGAAAAATATCAGTGGCCTTGTCTTGAAGCCGATACTATGTTTCTCAAACCAAATTAGTCTATTAGATTACTGCATTTGTTTCTCATTTGGCAGTTTTTATATTCCTTTCCCTGTACGTAAATACGGTAATAGGAATTAAACGTCTAGAAAACAGTAAGATTTGAAAGCGAGATGCGTTATAGTTTGTTAATTTTAATTGAAAACGCCTTGATACTCTTTTTAATTACGCTTTATTTACCCCTTGATAATCAATTCATTCAATATTCTAAGGTTCTCTAAGGATAACCTAAGATTTACATTTTATATTTCTGATGTTTGTCTTCTAATTAACGGCAGTCATTTGGGTGAAACATTGTCACAGTAAAATCTGAAAGTAAATTAGTTTAATTGAGATAAAGCACTTATTAAAAAGAATCTTACTAAGAAGTGTTAAATTGTTATGGTATAAGTCTTTGCTTCAATAGAAAAACGAAACCTAACGAAAAATGCTTTATACAGCTTTTAGTTAAAAAAAAAAACAAAACAAAGCTAGGATCTTTTACTTTTGAACTCGCAGTTCTTTCTTACCTTTTCTTTATCCTTTCATTTGTTGAACTTGAAGGTACCTTTACACTCCCCATATTTTAGTTTGATGTCCACCCCGAATAGCCGCTTATTTAAGACTGCAGAACATGGGTAGTTTGACCCAGGTTTCGAATTGAATCGAACTGGGAGATCCATGAGCAATTTCATAGTTGTCTTTAAGTGTAATGTAATAACAAACATATTATTCTAAAAAGCCCTCCAAAGGTATCCTTCCTATAGGCAATAGTCCTTGTGTGCTTTACCATATTCAGATAAATAAATATTTCGACGAGATGTTTGGGTCTTTCTATGGGATCATTTTATTTGCACTTCATCTGCTAGATAACGGCAAAGCACTTGAGGCCAATCTGGTTTGTGAGAAGGGATGCATTCGTGGAAGTAGTAAAATATTTTAGTTTGACGACGTTTGACGTATTTAGTTTGACGTCAGTAAAATATTTTAGTTTGACGTCCACCCCGAATGGCCGCTTATTTAAGACTGCAGAACATGGGTAGTTTGACCCAGGTTTCGAATTGAATCGACCTGGGCCATGAGCAATTTCATAGTTTTCTTTAAGTATAATGTAATAACAAACATATTATTCTAAAAAGCCCTCCAAAGGTATCCTTCCTATAGGCAATAGTCCTCGTGTGCTTTACCATATTCAGATATATAAATATTTCGACTAGATGTTTGGGCTGTCTTTCTATGAGATCATTTTATTTGCACTTCCTCAGCTAGATAACGGCAAAGCACTTGAGGCCAATCTGGTTTGTGAGAAGGGATGCATTCATGAAACCTTTCTAAATAAACTAACTATTGTTCATGTTACGCATGGATATTACAACATGTTCATGTAACCAACTCATGTGCCTGCATTCAAGCCCAGATCGAACTACTGCAGTTCAGCGGTTTTGATATCTCGCCCGTTTGTGGGACGTTTACGGGTAGAAATTTACTCAATTAGGTGACGAATCAGTTATATTTTACTTTAATCTACCAATCGCATCTCTGAAACTCGGTAAGAAGAAGAGTTGACCTTTAAATTTTTGTTACTGATATGTCTTGTAGTAAGAAAGAAGAGTTATCACGATGATTGAATTAGCCGCATTCGCAAATTTTCCCCGTATTCATAATTAAAAATTATGAAATGTGTTCTTTTATTAAATTTTAATCTATTGTTTTCTGTCTAGCCTTTCTAGTCTTTCTGTTACAAATACATTATATTTTGTATTCCTTTTCCTTTTCTAAACGGGAAGACCGAAATAAAATTGAAGTAGACATTTTTCATTAAATCACTTTCTTGCTGAAAGAAACATGTTTCAATTCACGCGCATCATCAGCTGAACTCAATGCTTTATCTTAGTGGACACATTTCTGCCGTGATGAATTGTTGACAAATGCTCTTTGTCTTTTACGTCCTCTATTTTATTTCACCTTTTGGCAGAAAGAGCATTCAAAAATGCGTAGGCCGTAAGCTTATTATGAAACAGACGGCATTTCACTTCCTTTGTTATTGTAAATAGAGGTTTTGTGAAATTGTTTAGGATGTAGAAATGTAAAAGGGATTACTTTCGAACAAATGATAGGGTAAAGAAAGGGGAAAAATGTTGCCATACCAGCGAAAATATTTTCGATTTGTATGGATATTTAAGAATGAATCGTGAGTTAATATTTGAATTATTTCACATTTTTCTAAAAATATCATTGGTTCATTTGAAGATGAAAGGATTTTGTTCATGTACAGTTCACAAAATTTTGCAACATTCTTTGGCTTTTCAGAATTAGAATATAACCAGGTTATGCTTATAATAACTTTTTATTAATCCCTAAGGGGCTTTAACCCAGAAGAGCTATTAATCTGTAAACGGTATTTTGCGTCGAATAACTATAAACGGTTACTATCCCTTTTGAAATTGTAGCCACCAAGTATTATCCGTCCTATATTACATTTAAAGATATTAAATAATAAGTAAA